AAACCAAGCAAATTCAACCTAAGATTAACGGTTTCATCACACTGACTATCTGCCATGTATGTCAAACCAGGTTTTCTTACTGAATTTTCTGCGCTTCTGCACATGAAAGCATGTCATGTGCAACAATCAGCCTGTCACGTAAGCATGCATCACAACAGGGAGTGCAGCAGGACAGAGAATTAGGATGGTAAAATACAAAGAATTCAGAAGTACAATAATGGCAAAGAGCAACATTGTGGCTGCAGCCAAAGCTAGAAAGGCATGCTTGCAGCAGAGCTTTGAAAAGAATAACAAGAAAAGCAATGGTAATATTTTTATAAGGCATTTAAGTTATTGTAATACATTAACATTACAGAATCTATTATAAATGTTTTATTATTTCAATTAGTCATTTTAATTTAACTTGTTGTTCAGGCGTTACATACTGTAGGCCTACCAATAGACAACAGGCATTTCATGAAAGTACAAGACATATTTACTCATACTCATTCATCTTTAGCAAGTTTTTTATTTTTTAATTCAATAGCCATACCCTAATGATTTATTTTCCAAAATATCCCAGGACAAAAAAAAATAATCAGTTTTCGTTGTACTGGGTTTTAAATTTAAATTTTTTTAAAATGTAGTTTCACATTAATTGCTTGGCAGTAAAAACAAAGAACAATTGTTCTGCTCTGTGCAGATGTGCTCACTGCTCAGTTTGCAAATTATACTTAGTGCTGAAATTATAATTTATAAGTATTACCTCTGGCAAACACTTTTAGTAATGCATGTTATTTGCATTTTTTTTAAAAAAGAACAAAAAAACTGGTTTTAATTGTTAAAATGATTAGGCATAAAAAAATTGTAAAGGTGGAAACCTACGAAGATGGTCCATGTTTTAGTGATGCAACTAAACTTTAACCTTTAAACCAAGAAATAACTTAATTTGTGAGTTTTCTTTAAATTGGTATGAAATTCTCCCTCCCTGTCCGGCTGACAAAATCCAGACAAGCTGACTAATTGGTTCTACTTCAGAAGTGCCATCAGGTCTTGAATGTACAAGTGAGATGCAGGAAAATGCCTGTCAGCTTGTCACGGCTGCCTGACAAGCGACGTGAAGGCAGGATTTTAGAAGAAGCCTCAGGACATCAGCCTTCCAGGTGACACTGTAATATACCACATTACATTCCATCACATGTGTGTATATATGTGATCCATGACCAAGACACACGACACGCATGCTGCCATGTCCTCACGTGTCTGCTTCAAATCCTCACTAGCAGCCAAACAATAGTTCTGCCATAGACAGGTTAAACATTACATTCACAGATGGATTAGTTTGAATTCAGTGACAGTTATGTCTTCAGAGGCTAAAATGATTGTCGTCACCTTGGATAACCGCTATACCTTTGCTCTCCAAAACCATATTAACCATTAGCTATTTGTCAGCCATTCCCATGTAAGTTTTTATATAATATAATAAATAGAAACCCAAATTATAATTCTAAAAGAGCTGTTTGGAGCAAAAAAAGTTAATTGACAGCCAGTCTCTTTGGGTACTTTTTAATTAGTAACAACTTTGCAATAAGATAAAACACCAAACATTTGTGTTTAGTATCCCTTTGGGAGCCAATGACTACAATTGCAATTAGTAGCAAAATGACAAAAACAGAGTTGAATGAGTCAAAAAATTATGAGACTTAATAAAAAAGAAAATGTGCAGAAGATATGGGCAGGTATGTGAAACATTACTTGACAATGAACTTTTGTTGCAAAACCAATAAATATGCAATATTTTTACAGAATTAAGCAAGTGACCCAAAACTGCGAGCATTTTACGTCTTTGTCATTTTAATACTGTTTGCATCTAGATTTTGCTTAGAACTGGTAGACTCTTGTCCCATTCATGTTTAAATATGATCCACAATTAAATATAAACAGATTAATATAAGCAGGTGTTTATTAAGCTATGTGTATGTTATAGAGAGCTATAAGAAATACGAGCGTTTTACTAGAGAAAGTAACTTTATCCAGAGCATTTCTAATATAGAGTGTATATTAGGTGTATATTAGTCTGCGTCTCTCTGGCTGTTTATGTATTACAGTAACTGAAATCTCTGTTGACCCTTGATGATGCTTTTTGCCCCCTGGGAAACCTAGGGCAGGTGTGGGCAATGCAGGAAAGGAAAAGGGGGGTGTGTCAGGAAGCCATGGCGGGGTGCGAGCGGGAATGCGGCAGCCAGGGTGGTTTCACCCGCAGCAGAAAGCCACACTAAAAGCAGCAGAGGTTTGGACGCTGAAAGGTGACAGGGATCAGTAAACAAAACAAATGTGAAGAATAATAGAAAATTATAGGGAACATGAGTGTTTGCACCAGTGAAAGATACAATATAACCCGAATGTTTCATTACTTATATGGGGAAACAAATGAACAAGGACTATATTTAACATGAACATGCCACAGTAGTGAATGTGTTTTGCTTTATGCATTTTGCTGAAAGGCTATTTCACCCAACCCTGTAACAGTGGTGGGTATAATGTGCCTCTCAGACATTCAGATGTGTCAGATGTTCAACTAACCTCAGTTCTGAGGTTAATAGTAGCACCTTAAAATCTTAAATCTGCTGCCTCATTGGTGGCAAATAAAGTGAGGATGAAGGAACATTTTGTATCCTCTTCTAGACACCTGATTATAAAGCTTTGGATAATTAAGCAAGAAAAAGCCCTGAAACATTTCATGCATTTAATGAGGTTCTGTACAAAAAAGGAAAAGAAACTATTTCAGAGCAAAGGTGTGTTAGATGTTCTCCAATAGATGTCTGAAAGTCAATGAAGGTTTAAGCTTTGAACTGTATCTTTAGAGACACTAAATAGTGAAATTGAGATTTAAAAGAAAAGATCAGCTTTGTTTTACTTCAGTTCCTAGAACCATAACCTTAGTTTAACCCCAACTTAACAGAGAAAAGTTTCTTGTCCAACATATTTCTTGTCTTTATGTCTTGGAGAACATGATTTAAGTTGGAGACTGGATTTAGTAAATAGAATTGAGTGCACTGGTATTGAATTCCTGAAAATGGAGATATTTCCACTGATCTCAAGCAAGGTCTATGTATATAATTCACAAACATAACTTTGTAGGCTGTATAAGTGCCAAAGGCCATATCTTCAGGCCTAGAATAATTGACCCCAGTCCAAGAGACACCAAAACACACATTTCATGTGGGATCAGCCAATGGAAATAAAGTGATTTTTCTGTAAATACAAATGCATGAAATGCATAATTAATTCTAGTCCCGCTGCTTTCTTCTTTCTTACTGCATTTTTACTCAGCTCTATGAAACCATAATATTGACTTTATGATATAGCAGGTAACCCTTGCATGCCTTTTTGAAGAGACTTTTACTTTAACTTTCCAAGCATCATTTTAGCTTTTACCTCCAATATTTTCTGAATGACATTTTGATATTAATTAAATGACAGTTCCTTAGTTAATTATCCCATTCCAAATAGCAACTCGTGTTGAAAATACGTACTTAATTCCTACGTGTGTGTGTGTGTGTGTTTTGTCCTCTATGTGTCCTGTGATACTGTGATAAATTTGCAGCCGCGAATGGCCCATGATCCTTCTCACAATCCACCCTACAGAGGCAACATGCGCCGTTTACGAAAGTATTTCAATACAAGGATTAAATCATGCAAGACAGGTGAAGACATTGACCAGGGTGTAGACCCACATTTCTGAGCCTGGTCCTCGGGTCCACCAGACAGTCCACATTTTTGCTCCCTCCCTGCTCCCTGGCAGACAGTCCACATTTTTGCTCCCTCCCTGCCCCTGGCCAAACAGTTCACATTTTCAAGCCTAGTAGGGGATTGAGTGAATTCAGGTGCCACACTTGTAAACAGGTTATTGCCCAGTTCTGTCACCTAAAAAGGCAGTGCATAGGTGTCCCTTCATTTATACCTTTATGACAATATAAAACTTTCTTTCAGGTAAAACTATTTGATTAGTACCACCTAGGCAACACTACGTCTTTTTATGTTTATCCATATGATAGTTGTAAAGTATAAGACCTAGAGAAATATCCGTCCATCCATATTGAAGCCGCTTTTCCTTGTTGCGACGCGATGGTCCTGCTGAGAGGCTGTTGTGCAGCAGCAGAATGTGATTTGCACCACGCAGGTCTGCAGCAGCCATGCTTTCCTCATCACCGATCTCGATAAGTGCTAAGGGGGCTTGGCTGTTGAGTGATTCTGACTCCACTTAGGGGATGGAAGAGCTCCCCCCCACTCCTGCTGGGAGCAAACCAGGCGAGGAGGGAGGAAGGGCGAAGAAGCAGCTGTGCATGTGTGGCTTTGGAAGGTGGAAAAGGGTCACCTCTGACCTGCGGGCCCACGGCAGGAGGACCACTCCCAGTGACCCAGCAGCTCGCTCTGGGCCCCATTCAGTGCAGTGTTTGGTACAGTGTTTGGTACAGTGTTTCATACACTACTTGGTACACTGTTTCATAGACTGTTTGGTACACTGTATCATACTCTGTTTGGTACACTGTTTGGTACAGTGTTTCATACACTACTTGGTACACTGTTTCATAGACTGTTTGGTACACTGTATCATACTCTGTTTGGCACACTGTTTCATACTCTGTTTGGCACACTGTTTCATACTCTGTTTGGCACACTGTTTCATACACTGCTTGGTACAGTGTTCTGTAATAAACCAGCCCCTTCAGAGGCCATTGTCTGCATCTACTGACACCTGAGTCTCTTTGTCCCCCGATACCACAAAGAAACATATAGACGATAAATCTATTGAAAAGTAACCAAGCGGATATACTGTGGTAACGAACGTCAAGTCAAGTGATGTAAGAAGCCTTTTTATGAATTTTTCCCGTTCAGCACATTGTGCCGTGTATTGAATTTAAAATTACTGAACTGTGAATTTCATGTATTTCAGTCGAGTGTAGTAGTAGGGACGGCCGGATCGATATGCTGTCAGTAATGTCCATCTGCCTCCTCAGCTGCTCCAGGGGAAAGCCATTCTGGCGAGTGGCATGTTGGACGTGATTGAGAAGGGCAGTGGGGAACCGGACCTGCTCTCCAGTGGCGACTGCGATGATGAGGACGGCTGCGGTGCATCGGGCCACGGCGAGGCGGGGAAGCCGATGCAAGTAGCTGAGCGTAAGTGGGCGGCTCTCTCTGGGACTTTGAGATGTGACTGTTTGCACGTGGGGGTGGTGATGTGGCTGTGTGGGTATATATATATATATATATATATATATATAGCGCATTGTGTGTGTGTATATATATATTTACCCACATCACCACAATGTGATATGGACCTGTTATTTTGATCTTATGGGGACCATTTTTCCAGTCCCCACAAAAGGAAACTCAATTTTAGAAAGATCTGTGACTGTAATCAAAAAATTAAAAATGCCAACAGGCTACTATTTTTGCTTGGTTACTGTCAAGGTCGTCATGTTGGGATTAGAGTTTTCCCCATAGGAATGAATGGGCGGTCCCCATAAAGATATGAATACAATCATGTGTGCTTTTGTGTGTGTGTGTGTGTGTGTGTGTGTGTGTGTGTGTATGCACAGCTAAATACGATATGAATTCCATTCAATATTTTGAACGTAAGCTTCCCCGGATGAAGGACAGAAAAGATTACTACTTTTACCACTGCTTACCCAATCATTATCAGATGACTTACATTTATACATGCGCTACGCTTCATAGAATTTGCCGGCATTAATATTATATTAATTGTGGTCCCACTAGGGAATAGAATGCTCTCTCTCTGTTGCTAGGGGACTATCCTAGCAGGAAAATGGCTTCTGACTGCCCAGGCAGTTGGCACTTAATTGGCATCATTTCATTCTCATATAACTTTAATCCTGCTCTTTTCCATATATGATGAATATATGATTATATGTCTGTGCTTTGCCTTAGTTCTCCCTCACTGTGCACTTACAGTGCTCTAACCATGTGATTAATAGCTCAGAGGTCAGCAAAGCAGAACATACTGGAATGGGGAGCCCTTCCTGTTACCTGTCAATCACTCATCCCACCTGTCATCATCTGTGACAATCCAGCATTTTAGCGGCCACTGGGGAACCTGATTTTAGCACATGGCACCCCAGGATCTTCTCCTCCAATCATCTAAATTGGTGTCATCATTGGCACTGCATAATAAAGAGGCTGACCTAAGTCCTCACACTTCATAATAAAAAAGATTTTTTATGTTATCCCTGTAAATGCTTACTGATGAAACAACCGTGCTTGTTCAGTGTTAAAAAAAGGCTGAGCGATGTTTGCGATGCCCCCAAATTCTCTCTCCTCCTGGGCTCTTCGGCTTTACGAACCACGTGATTGACCACGTGAGTGACAGTGTGATTGACCGCATGAGTGACAACGTGAGTCACAACGTGATTGACCACATGATTGACAGCGTGTCACAGCGTGATTGACCGCGTGATTGACCACGTGAGTGACAGCGTGATTGACCGCATGAGTGACAACGTGAGTGACAGCGTGATTGACCGCATGATTGACAGCGTGAGTCACAGCGTGATTGACCGCGTGAGTGACAACGTGAGTCACAGCGTGATTAACCGCGTGAGTGACAACGTGAGTGACGACGTGGTTATATATATATATGTATGTATACATTAAGTATATCAATATCTAAACTCCTTTATGTAATGTATAAATATACTATCATTATTAATTCTGTTTAAATATGTGTCCTGAATTTCTGACAAGGACTTGAAAACCAACCATTTTTGTTTTCTATTCAGCTGAATTTTTGAAAAATGTATAGTTAATCGTTTTAGCGTTTTACTTGAATAACAAAAGAGTACGTGTCAGTAAAGCACCAGTGTGGTTTGTTAGCCGCACACCATGCATTTTAGTAGCGTGAGTCATGTGATGACAGCTGTCTTAGTGTGGGGACTTGAAGATGCTGGAAACCCACTATGAAGGTAATGTGAGCAGAGGCTAAGGCAGGGAACCGTTAGTGTGACTTGAAGCAGGCGACCTGAATCACAGAGATGGTCAGACGGGGCCCTGTGTTAAAATAGAGCTTCTGTGGGACTGTCCACTGATTTAAATGGAGTACAGCATGATAGGTGGGATCAAAGGATAGCCTCGCCTTAGAGAAATATAACTAAAGCTATCTCTGGATTACTGCCACCACAGTACAGGTCAGAGACGCAGTGAGGGAGTAGCCAATGGGGCCACAGAACAGAATGCAGGGACTGGACCATGCGGAAGCCAGTAAATTAAACCTGAAACCCTTCACTGATTACAATTGAGCTGGAAGTGAATTATGATTGTAGGTGTGTCCATTAGGGAGGAAAGATTGATTTCCCCTGCATGAGCAGTACTGTAAGGTTTAGGGTCATTAGATATGATCCAGACATAGACATCTGTGCCTTACCTAGGAGAATAGGTAATTGCTTTAAGAAGTAATGAAAGGAAGGTCTTTTTTTCCTTTAAATAAATTTGTTATAGTCATAATGGAAAGGGAGAAAAGTGTGTGTATGTATACATATATATACATATATATATATATATATATATATGTGTGTGTGTGTGTATGTGTGTGTATATATATATATATATATATATATATATATACACATGTGCCTATAATCAGCAATAAGGAAAGTTGTAATGAGTTTTGACCTGCATGCTCCAGCTTAAATGTGTTTGTTGGTAATAGGGATCACGTCAGTGCATGCAGTAAGGCTTTGCATTTTATAAGCGTACTTTTCGGCTCAAGGGTCATCATGCTGAACAATCCACTCAGAAAAAATAAGCTAGATAAGGCCTGGGCTTCCCCAAAATGGTTCCCAGCGTCACTTTTCCAGCGTAGGGATTTAAACCCTCTTGAGATGGGCTTTCGTTTCCATTAAAAGCCAGAACACAGGGCGTTATTGGACCACCATATTGTCAAAGAACAAAACAGATCTGAAAAGGAACAATCCGGGGATGGTTGCACCGGACAACCGCTGGAAACTGGCTGGAATGCGCTTTTAGAAAGGCAGACAAATGAGACTCAGATTATTCATCCTAAACTTTTGACAAGTTCAGCCTCTGCCTCACCCAGTTGCGGCAGCATGATTCGTTTGGGCTTGAGAAAGTAAGAGTCGTTCTCAAGACAGTCTGGCTGCTAAAATGAGGGAAATCGATTCCTTGCAACGGGATACAATGAGAGGAAGTTGACACAGCCCCTTTCTTTAACCAAGCTCTTATTAATTAATAGGCAGTCTCTGGAGGAGATTGAGTTATGCGATTTCCTGGTAATTCATCACCAGTGAGCAGAATAATGAAGTTTGAAGGTGAGTATTCTCACAAGATGAGCTCTAGCGATGCCCGGCGTTCATACGGGATACCATTAAGATGAAAGCTTTTCTTCCTCGTGTCAGTTCTGAAAGACCATGAGCGTTCCGAAGGCCTATTTATTTTTACATATGATCTCATGCGATTGGCTTCAAGGGTTTAAGGTATATCACAGTTAGTAAAAACACATAAAAAGAATGGAATGAATTCCTGAATATTTTCCAATGGATAAACCCTGAGTGAGCTTTGAAAGTCCTCTAGTTTTCACACCAGCTACTGTGTAGTCTGATTAAATCCCTTATCAAGAAATCCAACAGGTTCACAGATTATAGAATTCCGCAGTGAGTGGTAAGCTTGGCCTGATCACTGAACTGCTTTTGTAAAGGTCCAACTATTAGCCTGTTCCTGCTCTCTGATGCTTAAGTCTGTCTGCATGCCAGACTGAAGCTCCATATGTGTGCAACACAAAGAAAATAGAGCAGTATTAGTAGGGATTCCTTGTTCTTGTTCTTATTCATGTATGTTCTGAAGAACATGCCAGGAATTTTCTGCATGACATATGGTGATAGGAATTAAATACAATAATTAATAAAATAATTAATAATAAAATTAATAAATAATAAGCTTAAATAGAGAGTGCAGTTCTCACAGGTCTTTGGTCACTTGCTTAACTCTGTAACAATCTTGCAAATGTATTTTTTGATAACAAAAGTTAATTGACAAGCTATTTTTAATATATCTGCACATATCTTCTGCACAGATATTTTCTTTTTAAGTGTCAGAATTTTTTGACTGACAGTTCTGTTCTTGCCATTTTGCTATCAATTGCAATTGTAGTCACTGGCTCCCTAAGTGATACTAAACACAAATGTTTGGTGTTTTATGTTGTTGCAAAGGTGCTACTAATTAAAAAGCACCCAGTGAGACTGCCAGTCAATGAAATTTTTAACTCAGAACAGCTCCTTTAGACCTATAATTTGGGTTTCAATTTACTGCTGTTTGAATGTTTTACTTAAAACTACTGAATGTTTCCAATGTGATATATAGTTTGTTCTAAACAAAAAATAATGATTTTGTTATGAAACCAATACATTTGCAATATTTTTATTGAATTAAGCAAGCGTCCCAAGACTTTCTGTGAGCTCTATATAACTAAAAATAGGAAATGCCTGTAGTCAAACCACTGCAGAATACTGTTCTTGCTAAGTTCACAGCTTGAATATATGTAACTAGGAAGCATCCTGCGAGAAGCTGTTTGACACTTCGGGTGACTGTCTTGAATTCCGCGTCTGTAAGCCTTTTCCCTTAGAACCCACAATATGTAGATCATACACAAGCAGTCCGCCATGTCTGTAATTAAAGAGCATTAATCTGAATTTCAGATGTTATTTGGCCATTGGAAAGGGAAAAAATTACTGCAAATAATTATCTATCACCATCTCGACTGCGTCTGTGTCACTCCCGAAGATTGTGGTAGTACATGCTGTTACAGAGCCTCCGCAGTACAGAAATTTGAAGAAAGCCATTCACTAGCTGTATAAAGAAGTGCCTTTTCACATTGATATTGCATATTAATAATACATTCAATTTGGATTCTATCTATCTATCTATCTATCTATCTAGCTATCAGTTGTTGATGATAATATTATAAACTTCAGTCTCTGAAAAACATTTGAAGATGTTTGGGTGATTTTTTATGGCAGCCATTATTTCAAAATAGTTAAATTGGAACACTGTAGTCAATCCAGTAAGCTACTTTATGAAGGTATTGTACGTAGGCTGTGTTTCAATTACTATTAAGGATGTGATATAATTAGCTCCCGGTGTTATGT